TTTAACCTATTTGCTATAACACTATTTTCCTAAAAATGTTACGGAAAAAGTAGATAAATGATTTTTCCCCCACTGTCAAAAGACCATTTGCTGTTTGAGAAGACTCTCCTAGATCTTATCATTAGAATCATTTTTCTATTTCAGTTAGCAGCACGCTTCCCTTAGTGTGATATGTTCTATATAAACCACTGTTTTTCTCTTCTGCCGGTTTGCTAAGGCTACCTTGGCATTTACTGTGTTTTCTTCCTTTCTAAGGGTGGGAATTTTCTCTTTCGGAGGGAGATACATTTCTACATTATTGCCTATTCATTTCCTTTTCATTTTCTTAGAGAAAATCAGGTTCATCAGTGCTTGTAGTCATGGAGATTTCATGTCTCCAGAAGAGATCCAATTGTGGAATTTCTTTGTTAATCCCACACTGGACGTTTAAGCTTTTGTGTTTGGATCAGTGCAGCCCAGGCAGGGGAGCGACCACAACAGGCTACAACGAGACTCTTTAACCCAAGGCGGGCAGGGCAAGTGTGTGCAGCGAGGGCTGTCCATGGACGCTGGGGGCCGGGGCATAGCAGGTGCTCAGGCCGTGGTTGGTGATTGGGCAGGTGAAGATCTTAAGCTTGAACCTGCGAGATGCTTGCCTCCCATGGTGCAGTGAACTCTGTATGGCCTCATCTTCCTCGCAGACTGGTCCCCCCACATCCCCGCCCTTTGCCGAGCTGCCTATGCCTCAATTCTGCCCCTCCTTTCGACAGTCTTGACTTCCGTTCTAGTAAAACCTGCCTCCGGTGCATCCTCCTTTCTTCCTCTCCTTCAGGCCTTCAGGTCTCCCTAGTGGCTCCCCACTGGCTACAGTCTCCTAAGTAAGCAACCATGTCTCCCACTGGCCAGTGTCCTGCCTCCCCATTGCTGCTAGGACAGTGAGGGCATGGGATACGTCTCAAGCAAATCTTTGCTGAATGGCTGAGAGATCCAAAAAGTCTTCCCAACATGCAAATCTGATATTGTTACTCCTTTGTTTAAAAACCTTCAGTAGGGGTGCCTGGGTGGCTCAGTCGGTCAAGCGTCTGCCTTGGGCTCAGATCGTGATCACAGGGTCCTGCGATGGAGTCCTGCATCAGGCCCCCTGCTCAGCACGAAGCCTGCTTCTTGCTCTCCTTCTGCCTCTTTTCCTGCTCATTCTTCCTTTCACATTCTCTCTCAAATAAATAAATAAAATCTTAAAACATAAAATTAAATTCAAGTAAAAATCTTCAGTGGTTCCCAGTGGTTTGAGGATAAAATTCAAACTCTGAGGTCATTCAAGGCTCTTCAAGCCCTTGCCATCTCATCACCTGTCATTCACCATTTGCATCCCGTGGCTTGGCCATCCCACGAGGACAGCTAACGTTTTTCTGGGTGATACGTGTGTTCAGTGTAGCAGTTGCAAATGATTTCCAGCTCTGGAGTCAGATTGAATGTGGTAGTGTTCCAGCTCCACCACAGAGCTCTGTGACCTGGAGGGAGTTCACTTAAACTCTCTTTGCCTCAGTTTCTTCATCTGCAAAATGGGACTGATAGTATCACCTGCTAAGGTTGGTGTATTAAATGTGTGCACACATGTCAAGCTCTTAAATCAGTCTCTGGCACATACAGACATTCCATTATCATAACCCCGGGTGTTGTATGAACTTACTGACTCTATCCTGTGCCGCCTCCTTCTGCTGAACATATCCCCTCCGCCTCTGCCTGATGGACCCGAGCCATCCTCTGACTCCCAGTCCCCATATCATGGCCTCTCTGGAACGAGAGGAGTGTTAAAAGCTTAAGTCGTGGACTTATAGCCTGGTTCTGCTACTCACTATTTAGTCTAAACTTGTTAAGCTGTGGTTTCCTCCTTAGTGAAATTCAGATAAGAAAATAATTGCCTCTACCTTATTAAGAGTTCTCAGGGAAAAATATAAAGACATACCTAGCATATGTTAAATACTTCATTCATGTTAGATATTATTTTATTAGCAGCCTTTCTGCCTTTCTGCAATAGCCTTTCTACAATAATACTGCCTAGTTACAGTATTATTGTAATGTGTTTCCTTGTTTGTCTTGGTGGGCGATTTGAATTCAGAGACAGAACTTACTGCTTCTAAGGTACTTGATGCATCATTCAGGCCATGGAACTGTGGAACTGACAAGGACTCAGTGGCTTTATCGATACATGTAACCATCTGTAACCATTTTCATATGTTGCTTTAAGAGATTTCCGAGGACCATGTCCATAAGAGAAGATGTTAGGAAGGAAGGGTCTTTGAGAGGCCCTAACAACTGGAGATTAAATGGTCCTATACCATTTTATTTGGCCCAAAAATGACTGGGAATAAAGGGGAAGCCAGACTGGATGGGCTGGGACTTCACTCCCAAGACATGACACGGGCTTTATCAATAGGACTAAATACCTCCTGCTGGTCTTCAAACAGGGTCGTGCCAATACATGCTAAGTAGCTGATTGTCTAAGAATGACACAGAGCCCTGATGTGGCGGGTGTTTGCCCATCACCGTGGTGCAAATACTCCCTCCGAGGTTACTCTCAAAACACCACTGTGATGTTAACCGACTTGCAAGGATGGACCAGTCATCCAGGCATGGACTCCCTCCAGCACAACACTGTGTAAACCTCAGTTTTTCTATCTGTAAAATGTGAGTCCTCTGAAATTATAGTCCTGTCTCCAAGTAGAAATGCTGGTGGGTCAAATGAGAGAGGAAAAAAAAAAACAACAGGCAAATGCTGGTGTTTGGGCAACACTGCCTGTGCTCATCATCATCTTGAAACTCTGTCCACTGGCCGTGTGCATCTTAGGACCGGGATCTGTGCTGACAGTCTTCTGTCACAAACCAGCCCGTCCGGGCTTCTGCTCAGAGCCATGTATCTGGTTTTATCCTCCCAATCAGGGTTCTACTCTGCGCAGCAGACTGACTCAATTAGCCTTTCATTCCAGAGTCCAATTGTGAGTCAATTCTGAGGTTGTTAAGCAAAATGAGTCTGGTGGCATTAGCCTCGCGCTGAAGGATAGTAATCCGCATTGTGGTGCCGTTCAGTTAATAGTCTGCTTGAGAGACTATGAGAAACAGGGACTCAGAGACAAAGCGACCTTTTGTCCATCTCTGGGGGACAGGCTGGGAGTGCAGGGCTGCCAGGTCAGAGAGCTGCTCAGGTTGTGGGCAACGCTGGAAGCCCAGCTGCCTGAACCACAGTTGGCCTTTGGAAAGTTAGAAGCCCAGCAGCACCAGATCATTAACTTTCATGACTGGGAAAATTCTTCTGAAATTAACACTCAGTCCAAGCTGGATGCCATTGGAGTCAGTTGAGTAAGCCCGAGCCACCTTTAGGGATTTCCTCGGAAAAATGAATCCTCTAACCAGGCTACAAAAATGGCCAGGTTTTATGCCCTCCAGTGTGTTCAATTAGAGTCAGAAAACACCAACGAGGCTTAGACGGTGGGAGATCCAGGCACGCAGACGGTCTCACACTCAAGTCTCATTTGGAGGATTTTGCCAAGACCCTTAGCTTCAGCACATGGCCCTGCTTGGGAAGCGGGATGTGGGGGCCTCTCTGAGGACTCTCAGGTGCCGTGCAAAGAAAGTAAAGCTTTGTTGTAGCACCTGCCCTGGGGATTGACAGTGATGGGACCAGGCACACACGGATGGGGCCCAGATGGGCGCAGCTTGGGAGGCTCAGATACCCCTGCTTAATAGGGTTTGAGGAGAGACCAGACCCTCACAGACACCCTGCAGCCTTTGCAGTGTGCTATGAACTCAGACAATTTCATTGGGCCTCTTAACTCCCCGCTAGCTACGATTGTAGTAAAGGGACACATAATGGGCTTCCTGCAGACCTTTTACAAACCTCTGTGATCTCCATACACACTACCTTGCTCTGCCCCGCCACGCAAGCTCGCACATAACCCAAGGTATGCTAAGTAAACACAGTTTTTTGGGTGGAAGGAGGGAAAAACAGCACTATGTATGTTGTCTGCCAATTTGGGTATGCTGAAGAGAAAAGAGCCGAGACAACCATCCATTGTCTCCCATAATTGCCGGATAATTTAAATTCTCTTGAAGTCCATTGTGTTCTTCGCTCAGAAGCAGAGCTGTTGTCTGCTGAGATGACCTCGGCAGTGGCCCCACTCTCATTCAGGATCTCTCCAACAATATGCTCTTCAGACTGAAAAACAGCCAGTTGGCCACAAAGAGCCTTCTGCCTCCCCAGACCAGCGTGTCTGTGGCCCCTCTCCATCTCCGGGGCTCTGCAGTTTTGCCACCACTCATGGCTTCCCAGTGGACTGCTCTGGCCCCTGGGCAGCTTCCTAGCTGTGGACAGGTGCAGCAATGGTCAGCGGCCCCTCCAGGCACCTCCTCCCCCAGAAGGTCCCATCACACAGTGAATCGGTGCCTCAAGTGAGCATCACCTGTCCCTCCTTCTGGAGCAGTGAGCCCCTCCTCAGTGTCACTTGGCAGGAATCAATCCCTATCCCCTGGGCTGGGGAGTGAGAGATAACTTACAAGACAAATACACGTATTTTTAAAGCCAGCAGGAATTACGGGAGCAGATGGGCTGTAGGATCCTATTTGGATGCCAGGGACATGTTTCTGTATAAAGTAAATATTTTCCCAGTGTAGATCTCTGGTGAGTGTGTAGAGAAGCATATTTCCTAAAGATGCAAATAAGTCTGTCAGAAATAAATATTGAATGGAAACTTCAAAGCATCTAGATTTCTCCAGTTATAGGCCCTGAAGACTTCTCTGCAAATAAGCAGACACACAGGTGGGCAGAGGGCTGGGGGAAGGAGGGGATGTTTGGGTAGGGGAGTTGGATAAGAGGGGGTGCTCACATCCTAAGAGCTCACACTTTCTTTTTTTTTTTCTTTTGGTGCGGAAAAAGGTGTATTGACGAAGGAACAAAGAAAAGTTACGTTGGTTCAGAAGTTTAGGGTATTTCAAAACACACAGCTTACCCTTTCTCCCCATTGCAGATCTCGCCTTGCAGATTTTTTTACCAACTGCCAACCCGAGTCAAGGTCTGCCAGCAGCTGTCTGAAGGAAAACTATGCCGACTGCCTCCTCGCCTACTCAGGGCTTATTGGTAAGAATAGGGAGAAGCAGGACGGGAGGGAAGTCTGGCTTACAGATACTCACGGACTCTTTCCATTGTAGCCTGCCACTGTCTGCAAGAGGGAAAATCGTAGTAACCTCTGTGCTGGGGTTTTGATGTTAAGCCCTATAGGACTTACCTGCAGAAAAACGAAACCTGGGGATCACGGCTGTGCCAAGGCAGAGGCAGGAAGCAGGGAATCTCCCAGGGAAGGAAGACTGTGGTGTGAGCACCTGAGAAGCATCAGGGTGGGGGTGGGGGGGGGCGGGGGAACCAACCACACAGAACAATAGGAAAGGAAAAAAAAAAAACATGGCCATGGAAGAGGGGAGCAGGTCCCCCCGAGCTCATTGAATTAGGGCATTTGGAAGTCATTCTGTCTGGGGAAATAAAAAAGGCTGCTCCCCAGAAATGGAAATAAAACCCCTAACTACTGGGGTCCTTCTCACCATTGATATTCTTGGTAATTCAGCTCCTGATGTGCAGGGAGTGAGGTCGCCTAGGATGTTTCCAGGAGAACGGACCTAGCAGAAACAGTGTTTTCTGCCTCTCCAGATGGGAAGTGGGTTCTTGGCATTCGGGGCAGCAGTGCGATTAGGGTAGTGAGTTAGAAGGTCAGAAGTGAGGCAGATTTGTGTTTGTGGCTAAAAGGGGCAGGCAGGAAGAGAGGCAGGTGTTCTGGTGGAAGGGCTCTGTCACAACTGACGTTTGAGGACAAATGTGTAGTGAAGGCTGTGGAGGGATGAGGGAAATCACACTTGTCAGAAGCATGATGGCTCAGCCACAGCGACTGCACAAGTCACCGGGCAGGAAAAACTTCCCACCAAGAATGACAGCACAGACTCAATTTTTTTTTGTCACCAGAGTGGCTTAAAACTGGCAAGAGCTTTCGGGAAAATCAATGATGGCATTTAATGGGGGGATATTACAGGTGCCTGCCCACTCATCCCAGCGTTCTTTTTAAAGAATACCTGTGTTCTCTTGGCCAAGACCTTTCCCCAATGCTGTTTACCATTTTTGTGGCTGTATCCCAATGAGTGTAACTTCCTTGAATCAATATCCCAAATTCGCATTCACTCTTTCCTTTTCTTAAGTAAGTTGGTCTCTACTAGGGGTTACTTATCAACTATGGAATTACAGGTGTGAGCAACAATGGAAATAATTAAGCCGTGCTCATTATAAAAAGTTAAAAAAAAATACAGAGAAACCCAAAGGAGACAGCTGGAAGGATCTACAACTCTACTCCCAGATATAATCCCTATGAATACCTCTGTCCATATCCTTCCAGGCATATGTGTTCATTAAATCCTCCATGAGTGGCCAAGGCACAGGGCTGCCAGGCATTTCTGGCTTGGAAGCCATCACATGCCCAGGATGATGAAATACTCATCATATAATGGAATGAAATGGTTGAAGCAATGCATTTTACAGACCAAAATTTATTTCCCTCTTGGGTCTGGATCTTTCCCTCCACACTGGTCATTGGGTTCTAGTGTCTTCAGGACAAAGCTTGCGCCTGCTTCTTCCATATGTCAGAGACCCATCACGGTGTCCGGCATTCACTGGCTACTTAGTAGACACATTTTAACCTCTGGACTCAGGGTTTGGGGTACCTTGTCCTTTCTCATCCAAATTAAGTGCTTACTCTCTGTTGTGGGTCAAAGTTCCCATCCCAAGGTATAACAGGAGATAATGTAGTTTGAATTGGTAAGGAATGTAGGGTAAAAAAGACATATCTTTGACTTAGAAGAGCTTACAAAGAATTTTTTTTTCTGTAGTGAACAAAATATATCCTGTGACTCACTGACCACTATTACTTTTATGTCCACAAAATACAGAAAAACAGAAGGCTTCTTGGCATGACTTAGGCATCGCCTGGTGCGAACCACCCAGAAGAAGACATTTGGGTTGTATTAAGCATAAATGCTTTGCTTATTTGCGCCAGCACAGAGCTCATCAGAAAAACCATGAACATAGGAAGATGTAGGCAAGAGAGACCACCCAGCATTTCTTTGAGGGCTTTTGAGGACTTCTGAGACAATACTCTAGAAGCCATCAGCTTAGAGGATTTCCAGTTCCCTTTCCAATTCCTTCACAACTTGGAAGACTTTATTTAAAGCACTTGAGTGTCTGGTGAGCAGAGGCCTCATTATATATGTTCCGGATGTCAGGGAACCCAAAAGATAGCTTCGAAGCTCCCCTGTGTTCCTTTGAAGAAACCATTTGCTTCTGAGGGAAGTGGATGCAAAGTCCTAAAAGGATTTTTTAAGATATGTGAAACCAGTTCTATCTATTTATGGAGATTAATAACATTTTCAAGAAAATGCAAGGGATTTGGGAACTCATGCATTCGAAGTTAATTCTCTCCTACTCCATAACATCCATACCATTTGGGCAGAAAAAAAAAACACCCTAAGTGCAGCTCAAGGAGTTCTGTTATAATTTTTTAAGTAAATGTGTAAATTATTTTATGTGCTCAAGATAAATTACCAAGAAAATGCACTGCTTAACATAATTTCCCACTCAGCCAACCCAATGTTTGTAATTATCCGTGGTGTGTCCGTGTCAGAGGAACATTTGTTTCTCCTTAGGCTAGAGAAAAGTCTGTACGATCACATGAGAACAAGGTGCCTTATTTTTACTTTCTTAGGTACAGTCATGACCCCCAACTACATAGACTCCAGTAGCCTCAGCGTGGCCCCGTGGTGTGACTGCAGCAACAGTGGGAATGATATAGAAGAGTGCCTGAAATTTTTGAACTTCTTCAAGGACAATACTTGTCTCAGTGAGTTTAAAAAAAAAAAAAAGGGAAGCAAACACACAAACACGCTTTCCTCTCTGTGTTCAAGCTATACCTTTGCGTGTCTTGTGCCTGCCTCTTCTCTCTCTCTCTCTCTCCTCTCTTTTTTCTGGTGATAGTGAATCTAGCCTCTCTTGGCCATACTACACAAGGCAGCAGGGAACAGAGCGGGTGGGTACTGCCAAGTCTGTGAATCCAAAGGCCTAAGAGAGCAAGAGATTCAAACAACGGAGGGTGTATCCTGTCAGATAGAGCCCTTCTACCCACAGATCAAATTCTGATGTTGGCAACCAGCACGAAGTCTGTTCCAAAGGTTCTTAAAACCTGGGTCCAATATGCGGTGTGAAAAGCTCAGACAAATTAGATGGGGGTAAGCCTCCGAGGGCTTGCTGAGAAAAATTAGAACGTTAACATCAGTAGCCCCCTGGATGTTCAGGGTTGGCTCAGAGAAGCCACAGTTCTTGAGTGGAATAAGCTGGCGGTGCAGGCGGGAGCCTCAGGATGTCCGTTATCTCGGGAGACAGAGATGAGCACCCGGGAGCTGGGGGGTGGTAGGAAGCTTGCTTCTGCTTGTAAATAGTATCAGCTGTTACTGCCACTTTCTTCAGGCAATATGGAAACCTGTTTCCCAAAGGGAGAGGGAGAGAGAGAGACATGCAGGTGTGAACAGTGGGCACCCATCAGACCGTGAAGGGTCTTCCTTCTATCTGCAGAGATGCGCACCACTTGAGGGGACGATCCAGCGGGCATGCTTGAGGACCCGCTCTCCTTTGGTGGCAGCTGCCGTTAGTGTATTGGGTTCCTTCAACTCACTCCACAGGGAGTGCGATATATACATGATCTCCTTGACTGTTTTCTGCACAAGAGTGCTAGGAGCTGTAGGTAGGAGCTTCTCCATTTCATAGGTGAGTCAACAGCTATTACTCACATGGGTCCTCCAGGCCACAGTTGGATCTGAAGCCCGAGTTCCTCCTTCCGCAGCCCCTGTCCCCCGAGGCTTTTGTGTCGTGCCTGATATCAAAGGGCCCATTGGACGAGAACATATGGCGGAACACCGGGGACCAGGTGGGACTTCCTGGTGAGAGATGTGGAGCCATCTTCTAGGAATTAAGGTTCAGCCGCCCCTCTGAGAGCCAGGAACACTCTCCGTGACGGTCTGCTGTCCAGTGACTGATGGCCAGAGAATTAGCTAACAATTTACCATGTGTACACGGAAAAGCTTTTAAGTGTTACTTATTCTAAAACCTCTTTATCGCTTCCTTTGTTGAAAAGACAGATCTAAATGATTTGCTTACTACGTGCTTCAGTCATGTGGCTGTGACCAAATGCTTTAATCATCTTAAAACTAACACAAGCTTCTGGACACCTAAGGGAAATGGAAAACCACAAAACTAGTGGGACGTATGGAGACATTTGCTGAGATATTGGGCATATCCCCGAACTGAGCCTCAGCTCTCCTGTTTGGTCTTGACTTAAAAAAAGAAAAAAAAAAAAAATATATATATATATCTCCTTCTTTTCCACATCCTGCATAGTCTTTTGGCAGAATGCAAGTTTTAATGAAGATAAGCAATGACAGTATAGGTCAGTGTGAGAAAAGATTGTAGTCACACTGGCTGGAAAACTGCTCCCTCATGGAGAAATTAAAGGTGTCCCTGCTTAATAATATTTTGGTGAAGGGGAGACTGGTCTGGCCTCATTTTGCTGATGACTTCACAATAAAAATAAATACATTTGGTCTTCAACAGGGACCAAAGCCAGCCAGAGTTTTTCACAGTCATTCCATTTAGACTTGGATGAGAAGGGGCACAGCCCACCAAAGACAAAGGGCCGTCAATTCACGTCCTGCAAAAGGCTCTAGAGTAGAAGGAATTAAAATTTATAGGTTCCAACCCGAACGTCACAACCCAGTTCTGCCCCCTTCAAATTAACCAGCTCTCTTCCAGATTCCTCTATCACGAACACAGCTTTAACCGATTGTTTATTTCTGGTCATTGGGGGGAAACACAGTTATTTTTAAGCCAAAGTGGGTGGCCAGAGTGAGGGGAAGAGAGAAGAATGAGCTGGAGATGGAGGTAGGATCGGAGGTACACTCACTTGGGTCTTTCTCCAGATGCCTCCTTCACCTCCCTGGACCTCTGTATCAGAACTATGCTTCCCTGTCACACTCTCACCCCGCCCCCCGCCCCCCCGCTTCATTTCCTCCAGGCTTTCTCAGCACCAAATGGATTCTGTATTTCACTTAATACCCTCCCCATCCAGCATGGGCTCTCATTGAGGGCAGGGGCTCTTGTCTGTTGCTGCCATCCTTACTGTTCACTGCTGGATGCCCACGGAGCAGAGCCTGGCACGTAGTCCATGCTCCCACTGACGTTTGAGTAAACAAATGAGCAAGTGCACAGACACCCCAGGAGGCAAGACCACCACATGGGAAAAGCTCAGGTAGTGCCCATACATGGCAGGGGTCTCCTGGATCTCCGTGTCTGAACAGGAAAGAGGAAGGAGAGTTCTGCAGCTTGTGGTGGTGGTGGTTCTCGGTCATTCGGAGAAACCCGTCCCCCTGTCCCTCTTTCTCTGCATTACACCCACCTGTTAAGCCATGTAAGACCGCTAGGAGCAAATTTATATTAATTCGAGGCTGTTTGTTACAGCCTAAAAAATGTAAAGTTTGAGAAAACAAGCTTCCAATTTGCTGAACTTAAAGGATAACAATTTTAGAACAAAATGTCACTTCTAAGAGGAAGATTAGGCTTAAATTATTCTGTCTTGTGTATCAGAAGATGCCAGCTAAGAATCATATATTAACAATTTGCACATTCAGGTCTCAAATGGAGGAGTTTGATTTCTTATACAATGAATATGAAATAAAAAATTCCTAAAGCCAGGCCAAATCCCCGAGGACCTGATTAAAAACTGTTTTTATTTTAATTCATTTTGGGGAGGGGAACAACACACAACCAATTTACTCTTGCCATAAAAACAATCTAATCCCATGAAATTGTAATAAGCTTTTAAAGTTTTACATTTTAAACTTTTCATTTAAGCAGGGCTGCTCCTACCTAATTATGCAGATTTTGTTTGGAAGACTGAGAGCAGAAAGGGAAAAAATAATCTTACTTAAATTTTCACTATGTATTGATGAGATTTGGGGTAGGTTTTTTTGTTTGTTTGTTTTTTGTTTTGTTTTGTTTTGTTTCTTTTAAGGAAACTAGTTGCATCTGTACTAGTTGCATTTGGCTCATAGTAGCTGCTCAGAGCCTGTGCTGGGTGCTTTATGGTAGTTAGTCACGTCTTTGGCTGTTTGATTTTACCGCCTGCCAAATTAGCGTGGGGGTCACCAAGTTCCCTCATAATTAGGGATATGTTACTTTAAAAAAAAAAATCACTAACTAGTTTGCTTTTAGTATAGTATTTTAACAGAGTACAGGGATGTTCTCAGAAGATCGTGATCCCCCCAAAACAGGTTCGAGGCTGGGTTTCGAAGCACTTGACTGTTGAGTATTTCAGGGCAAGGACTTTGCTCAGCACCTAGTACATAAAAAGGAACATGATCTGTCTTGTGCTTCGAGCATACCAAAGTGTCCATCTCGGTGTTTAATGAATGAATTGATTTTTGAGTGCCTGACCCGATGGTTGGCTCTCTGCGCGTGGAGGGATGGATGGGTCTTGTTCAGGGAAGTCCAATACTGTAATCAGAATTTCTAGTGTGCCTCTCTGGCTTCATGTATCCTGTCTGTTACATTTGCTGCTTGACTTTGAAATTGGATTTCCTCCTGTTTTACTGCAGAAAATGCAATTCAAGCCTTTGGCAATGGTTCTGATGTGACCGTGTGGCAGCCAGCCCTCCCAGTTCAGACCACCACTGCCACCACCACCACAGCCTTCCGGGCCAAGAACAAGCCCCTGGGGCCAGCAGGTTCTGAGAATGAAATCCCCACTCACGTTTTACCACCTTGTGCAAATTTGCAGGTAAGAGCGGGGACCGAACTCCCTTATGGAGCTCACTTGTGGGGGCAGGGGAATGCATTCCTGCAATGCATTTAAAGATGGATGGCTAATGATGGAGGGCTGCTTGGGTTTGAATTTTACAAGTGCATTTAACCATGATAAATGAAGATTGCAAAGCGCCACAGAGCGGGAGAAAGACAAGCTCTGGGACTGACTCGCATTTGCTGGGAGTGTGACTTTGGTCAGTGGGCCCGGAGCTGGCCTTGGTGTCTTCACCTGTAGAAGGAGGGGGCTGGGGAGATGAATCCTCAGGCCTTCTGTTTGTGGAGTGGCAGAGTCAAACTGGGATCAATTTATTTATTATGCTTATTCTATGTTCCCCTCAAAGCAGCAGCCTGTTGAAAGAGAAGGTACTTTTGGGTTGGTCGCCACCAGTGTCATTTAAACTTAACGCAGAGAGTTTAACTCTGTCTTAAGGTGAACCAGGGGCACTGTCACTAGTGAGGTGTTAATTCCAAGAGTTCCTATGGGTTCGTTCTTCCAGAAGCAGAAGAAAACGTTTTTTTCTGAAGTGAAAGGAGCTGGGTAGAGCCACCCTGCAAAGCCTCTTGTGGGACTGGAGCCAAGTGAGAGTGGCCAGGAGACTTCCTTGGGGTTAATCCAGATCTCCCAAGGGCAGAACCACAATGGCATGTGAACAGTTGTTTCCTGCCTTTAGTCAAAGCAGAGTGTTTATTCTGCCTTTTTATTGATTTTTTTTTTATAGTAACAACTATTCAGCTACTTACTTCTCAAGACATTACGTGTTTATATGTTTGCAAAGTATTTTCACACACTTTAGGTCTCCGGCTGTTACCCTCCCTGACGGCTGAGGGAGAGTAATAGTGTTACTGTGCTTGCACTGGAGGGCACCGGGTCTTGGTGAAGTAACACTTTTGCAGGAGCCCACAGAGCTTGTGAGTCACCCAGTGCTGGGAATCCAGGAGACTCCCGCTGCTTTCGTGGTTCTTCCTGTGTTTGGGGGGAAGGAGTGACCGCGTGGTGATCTCTGCTTCCTGCAATGCTAGGGGAGGGCACAGGCGCCGAGCACTGGCTGTCATTTCATACTGGTCACTGGAGTATATTCTCTCTTCTCTCCCCACTCTGCTGTCACCAAGGACCAGGCTCACCAGAATGTTCACCAGAAACCTTTGGCCAATACCTTCTTAACTCACAATCCCCTTCGTTCCCTACAGACCCTATAAACTGGGGCAGCTCTTCTGCTTCTGATTGGCTTGCGGTCTCTCTCCCCCAGTGTCTCCCTTCTTCTTCTTGGATGTCCTATGTGCCACTCAGCTGGTGATTGGTCTCTGTCCTGTCCTCCCATGTCACAAACCCTCAGACACACTCACACACACTCACACGCACAGCACTAAGGGGAAGGTGGGGAGGGGAGCCACACAGCCCAAGGTCAACCAGATATTCTTCATGCTTCTGAAGCATTTCTTGAGCATGTCCAACGTCCAGAGCTCTGTGCAGAAACTGCTAGAAGTAGGACACTTGGGCAGTAATACAGCCTCTAACTGCTCCCTCTTGCAGCAGAGCCCTTAGGCTCGGGGAGGGGAGGTGACTTGCACAAAGCTCCCCCCCAATCCTCCACCCCCAGCCAGGGAGAGGAGAGTCTGGAGCCAGACATCACACCACAGACACAGGATCTGTTCTTTGTCTCTGGCTGGTCCCTGGCATCCTGCTTCCTCCTAGGCCAGCCTGCTGCTCTTACTGGGTCCATTCTGGTTCTAACATCAGTAAGACAAGTGGCCAGATGAGAGATAGGACCCTGGTGTCCTTCGGTGATAAGAGTGGGCCAGAGATGTCTCCCGACTGGTGGAAGAGGCAAGCTCTGGCCATGGGAAAAACCAGGTTCTTTTCTGCAGGTGTCTGAACGCACGGAGCATGGCCGCGGGGACAGTGCTTAGCCTGTGTATTGAGCGCCTCCGGTGGTTTGGAAACTTCTTGGGGATGGGCACTCAGAAACAATTCTCTCCTCAGTGAACTTATAAATAAGGGGCAAGATGCAGCTTGTCAACATTTTTGGGAAGTCAGACCAAACTAATAGATGACATTTCAGAAGACTAGCCATCATTGGAAATTCTATGAAATTAGTCTTCTCTGTGAGAGAGGATTCTTTCAGCCATAAGGAGACATTCTCCCCACCTCCTTGTGCCTTTGCTACTCCCCTCCGCCCCCCCGAAAAAAGCGCCTGGCTTCTGCTTCCTTTGGTGCCCGCATGTCTTGGCCCCACAGTATTGTGCCTCCAACACAGCTCTGCCCAGCCACCCCTCCTGTCAGGAGGACTCGGTGCTGTCACAAGGTTGCCCTGGCAACGTCAGGGGACACATGAGCTCTGTTCCCGAGAAACGGCGCCTTGCCTTCCCCCGTATTAGTGATATGAAATCTGCCTCATGAGTAGAGGGGCAAAGTAAAATTAAAGCATGATGTTTACGTTGAGGCTGTTAGTTAACTTCTCAGCAGAGGGGGAAATGGCAGTGGGGGATGACCAAGGAATAAGATTGCAGCCATACTTGTCTTCCCTGGAAGACACACACACACACACGCACACACACGCACACACACATACACAAAATCTACATAAGTTGGAGCTAAATGGCATTTCACTTCTGGGGAGCCCTTCAGGGTTCTACCAAACCTCGCCTTTCCTCTTAAGGGGACGGCCTGCTTGAACCCGTTTTTACACACATGAAGCAGGGAGTGAGAGCATGGGCTCTGCAGCCAAGCCTGTGTTCAGACCCAGGCTCTTTTCTTCACCAGCACCCTGGCTTCTCTGAGCCTCCGCTTTCACAAAACTCAAGGATGGTCGAGCTGCCAGAATGGGGGGCGGGAATTAAATGGGGGTAATACTTCAGGGCCAGGGGCAGAAGGAACACTCCAGAATGGTACTTTAAAAATGTCCCATGTGATGTCTGATCCCCAATCAGTTGGCCACTGGGTCTCTTGACAGTGGGTGGGTGTTGGTGCTGTGCTGGGTTTACAGACATCCTTCCCGTTTATACACAAGGCAACAGAGTCAGGGAAGGGCTGGCGACTTAACCAGAATCACACAGTAATTCTTTGGAGGGCCTGGGATTTCTGCCTCAAGGCCGGTATACTTCCACCTTATTCCATGACCTTGGACAACCAACCTGGGCTCTTTCTTTGAATTAGAAATAAACAGAAAGGAGGAAGTAAAAAAATGGAAAGTTACACAGTATTTGTCTTTCTGCATTTGGCTTATTTCACTTAGCATAACGCCTCTAGGTTCCTGATCTCACTTCCATGTAGTATCTGATAAGGTCAGATTTTTTTTTAAAGATTTTATCTATTTATTTGACAGAGAGAGATCACAAGCAGGTGGGGGGTGGGGGGGAAGCAGGCTCCCCGCTGAGCAGAGAACCCAGTGCGGGGCTCGATCCCAGGACGCTGGGATCATGACCTGAGCTGGAGGTAGAGGCTTAACCCACTGAGCCACCCAGGCGCCCCAAAGTCAGATTTTTAAAGCGAGGAGAATGGTGGTTACCAGAAGCTGGGCAGGAAGGTGCCGCTCAGAGGGAACAGGTTTCAATCACATGGATGAATGGGATCTAGAGCTCTAGTATACAACATGGTGACTACAGCTAGTAATAGCGTATCGGATACTTGGAACCTGCTAAGAGAGTACATCTTAATTGCTCCCACCCTCCCCCAAATTGGTAGCTACCTAAGTGATATGTTTATTAGCTTTACTGTGATAAACTTTTCCTCAGATACACATGTATCAAAACATCAGGTTGTAGCCCTTAAATACATACAATTTTTATTTCTCAATTTTACCTCAGTAAAGCTTGTGACGGGGGTAGAGGATAGAAATGGCAGCAGGGAAAAGCTCCTTGTGAGGGACCATGTGTCCTAGTGCTTCCTGAAGGCAGCCATTCAAGTAATAGGGGAAGCACAAAGCTCATGCTTTAGGTTGGGATTATTCATGCAATTCCAGGAGACAGGGAATAGGAAAAGACTGAAAGTTTGCCAGTAAAATTTTCACAGCTTGGCGATGTCTTTTGAATGACCTATACTAACAACAGTAGAAAGAATCATTGGAGGCCAGAGGATGGGGGATGAGTGAGTGATAAGAGATGGGCCTTCACCCGGAGAACATGGTCCCTGGCACTGATTTAGGACTCTTGCTTTGGAGGAGGGCTCCCAGGAGACTCATTTTCCCTATTTGTCCTTTTTCTGCCTGCCTGGCTATCTCCAGATAAATTACCATTTGCCAGGGGGTCCTAGAAATATCTTACAATGGCGTTTGTCCCAGCCACGTGTGTCATTACTCAGAACAGAACTGACTTAAACCAGCTTGAGATCCATTGGTAACAGATTTGGAGAAAGTCAGCTATCTTTGGCAGCTCTAAAAGTTCACTTCCCTCGAGAGGCACCCTCCTGTAATATTTTAAAATATACAATAATATGAGAAAACTCTTGGGGACTTGAATTCCTATCTTAACATTTGAGATAGATTTCCCCTTTGGAAGGGAAGAGATAAGAATAAACATTTTCAAAAGTCGGCTTCGAAGTTTAATAATCAACAGAACCAAATGCATTTCTTTTGGGGAAATGGGTGGCCTTGGGTGTGGGGCGTATAGGACTCTTCTGTAGTTCCTGTGAAAGGCTTGCCTTTAAAAAAGGAAAGTTGATTGATTAGTATAAAATGTCATAGAAATGTCCAAGTGCTCACCCCCTGAGGTGATAAAATACCAGGTTTTGGGTAACCCGCCAAGCTCCCATGTCAGGATTAATTGGCAGTCATATTAGTAACAAGCATGATGCAGGCTGTGCTATTGTTGGCATATCCTTTTGAATTGTACAAAGTGGTCACATGAAAAACAAAAGAAGATTAAAAATTCTACCAATTATTTCATCTTCTGTGCACTTGAGTGATCTGCTAGCTGGAAAAAGCTCAGGATATTTAAACCAAATGGACTGTACTTGTCGCTTATTTAAAGTAAATATCT